AACTGTTATGATCTTGATCCATTTAGAAGTAAATTTTAAAACATGCATACATATCTATATCTATATCTATATATATCTATATCTATATCTATCTATATATATATATATAGATAGATATATAGATATATCTATCTATATATATATATATATATATATATATATATACATAATGATCTAGAAGGCCTTTTGGCCTTGGCCCCTGTGCTGCACTCAGCTCTAGCTGCTCTTGTCTCTGTATAATCCTCCTCCTCATGAATACATTAACGCTGCAGCCTTAACTTAGTTTAGCTGGCGGCTCAGCGTCACAGCACATCCTATTACCGACTTTAAATCATTAATGTGACATCGTTTTCACTCAATTTCCAAACACCCCCGGATGAAAGTACAAAAAAACAACCCTCGACATATTTCACCGAGCCGATGCAGGCAGAGTTGGCTGCTCTCAGAGCATGCTGTTGAGAGTGGGAATGAGTGTTTAACTCTTCTGTGCTGGTTACATTTGCAGAAAAAAAGTTCAGCTTAAATGTTCTAATGTAGAATAAAAACACCCCTTGTGGTAGTTTTCAGTTTTTGGTGTGTAACATGATAAAAAAAAAAGCCTGAAAAAATGTTTTTAGCTGAGCTAGGTCCAACTGGCCACCTTAGGGTGTGTGTGATTTAAATCAGGGTCTAACCACTGTTTGCTTCCTTCAGCGTTCCCATACTGCTGACAATAAAGAATAAAATAAAATCCATACTCCTTTTTTTACTCCTCAGCTATTCCCACACAAACCTTTTTTCTCAGGTTTTCCCCTTTGGGCCGCCTGTAAAATATTAACATAACCCAGACTAACAGAGTCCTTCGCTTGCTGTATTATTCTGTGAGTTTTTTTAATCTGCCCCCATCTTGCCTCTTTATTGCATCAAAAGGTTGTTTTTTTTTGAGTGTGCACGTCTGTGAAGTTATGGTAATTAACAAAGCACATAAAATCTTGTCCTTGGAGTGCATTTAGCTTGTTTTTATGCGCCGCGCGTCAGGCAGGGCTGTGGGGGTTGATTGCGGAACATATGGACACAGATGGGGGACAGCATTTTAATGGGCACACTGAGTGGGGTTTGGTGTTTCTAACCCCTGAAAATGGAGGCAGGAACATCCTCAATGTCCATAAGCATGCATCTATTATACATATGTTTTTTTTTTAAACAGGTGACACTAGTTTAGTGGGAAGTAAATCTTTTTTTTTTCTTTTTTTAGGGGTTTTATCAGCATTCGCTGCAGGCCCATCAGGTTCTGCAATAGCTTTTCACCCGCTGCATGTTTAACTGTTAAACTGGACTATACATCACACTTGAATTATTATTTTGCACCACCAACATGTCTGAAACTTTTATAATCCTTTTAAATACAACACAACTCAATGTCATACTGCACTTTGCACCCTATTTATTTTGCACTGCACCAAACCTTTCACCAAAATTTCTTAAATCAAGTGTATTTACCCTTAGTTTGAGCAGGTAAATAAGAGTTTGCCAATGGAATGAGTATTTTTACACTTAAAATAAGATAATTAGATAATATGCACTTGAAATAAGACATTGCAATTGCTTTTTCGTATTTTAAATGTAAATTGTCTTGTTCCTTTGGCAAAGTGTCTCATTTACCTCCTCAATTCACGAAAAAATGCACTTATTTTAAGAAAAACTTACTATAGATTTACATTTTTTGCAGTGTGAACGCCCTTTTTGCACCATTATTTTTTTAACTGGTTTTCCTTTTCTCCTATAGTGTTTACATGATGATCCCTGCTGCACTTTAAATGGTAATGTTTATTTCACTGTTGGAAGCTGTAAGCAACGTCATTTTGTGTTATATACACTCTGTGTATACAAAATGACAATAAAGTTTGTCTTGACTCTAAAAATTTCACCTTCCCCCTCCCCTCTCCCACCCCCCCCTTCTTTTACTCCTTTCTCTTCCCTCATTGTGCTTAATTAGGTTACCGGGTTGCTAACGATCCATGATTCTTCTCTGCGCCTTGCAGCTGGCCCTCTGATTGGAGGTGCAAGAAGGTGGACTTAGCATAATTAACATGTTGTTATGGAGATGATTGAATTACTCAGCCCCCTGTGTGATGGCCCGCATTGTTTTACAGGAGAGAAATACTGAACAACCCAAATTAAATGTCATGTGGAAATATATTTTCATGTGCTTTGAAATGTAGAAATTACGCATGTATGTAAACCTGCATGAAAAAAAAAATCTGATTATTATTATTAGTATGGGGGGGGGGATAAATGAGCAGGACAAGCACAAGTTTACTCAACACATTGCTGTCTTTATTAGAGCCTTGTCTGGCAATAATACTGAAAAAAAGTGAACTTAGAACAGATGGTGGTGGCAGCCCACGGATTTTTTTTCCTGTTTTTCTTTATTTCTTTGATATTTTTTCGTCATTTTTTTTGTGTGAGAGTGCTGTGACTCTTGCTTTTCTGTGGCATGGATAAACATCAATAAAAGAGACAATAGGGAGAGAGAGAGAGAAAAAAAAAAGAAATATACAACTTATATTACACTGTGTTATGAACAAAATATAAATCTATAACTCTATGTTATATTTACATAATTATCTTTCTTGATTTTTCAAGTTGAGATGGTAAGATAGTTTTTGTTTGTAATAATTACTTTGTTTTGAGCTCCACTCGTGACTGATTGTCTTAAATAATATCATTTTCATTGTCTTGATATAGGGACAGACCTTGCCAGCAGGGATGATTGATGTCTTTAATGCCCCACATGCTCTCCCGATTCCTCTCTCCAGCATCAATGTGGCGATAAAAAAATAAAAAAAAAGGGTTGACTTTACAGCACAATTAAGACCCAGGCGCTTTTTATGTGGAACATTTATATAGCGATAAAAAAGATTGGGGATCACTAAGTGATGTCACACCTGAAGAGTAGTCATGGCTCCTGTAGCGTCGTGTGGAGCTCAAACAAAGCAAAGGGCTCCTGATGAGAAATGTTAAACATACTGCAGAGCCGCCTCACACCCAAACTGAGTGAAACACTGCTCTTCTATCACCATGACAGAAAAACACTTCTATTACTAAAGAAAAAAAAGCTTTTTATGTATTTAAAACAACAGCATATGATTTGTTTAGTTGCAACAATTTTAAGTTTTAGTATAATCAATATGAATGTCTGATTGGATGCATTAAGATGCATGTTTTTTTTTTTTTCAGGGGATTCGTGTTTGAAAATAACATAATTAACTTAAAAAAAAAGAAGAACTAGCTAAAGAAGTTTGGAATTTGTGCAGATTTAAGAAAAAATACATACATGTGGGTTTCAGGGATAGTCCTCATATCTTTAATACAGATAAAAAGGGAAGATAGCGGTACATAGTTTTAGGATAAAACTAGTTCTGATGAAAGTCTGGGATCATTTTCCTGGTGAACTAGGATGAGATGAAAATTGGTCACGTTCAAGTTAAGGTTCAAGAGATGGAGTGGGATAGATTATATATCCACATGAACTTGGAGGGTTTGAAGCCACAATCGATGTCCTAAAACTTTAGAAATACCCACAGAGACTTTCATTTATCTCAAATCAACTGCTTCTTGGTTACAGAAAGATCCCAGACAGAAAAAAAAAACAGACTAAAGTTAGATTTGCAGGATGAATTCAACTTTATTTAAATTAAAATATTGGGACCAAACCTTAGTGCCGTCTTTATGGTGGCAAACTAAGTATTTTAAATGCTGTCTCCCAGAGGAACAGGGATTAAACATTCTTATGGTTAAGCTTCAACCAACTAAAGAACATTTAGGAGGTGAGGCACATTTCCACCCTTTTAAACGGAGGAAAACCTTCAATAAATAGGTGTTTTAAAAGCTATTTTTTTTTTTTAATTCAATCAAATGAAAAAAATTATCCAAATGTGTGATCAAAAGCTGAAAACTGACATGACATTCATGCTGATGAAGAGCATTTTAACGACTGATTGGGGCTGTATGTGCAAGGATCCAAGCAGATGTTGCTTCACTGCGTTTCCATGAGGCGGCTGAGCTAGTAAACAGGGACGGCTCTCTGTGTTCACAGAAATCCTTCAAATCATTTTCAAAGCACAAGAGAATCAAATGAAAAGAGGAAACCTTCACATTGTACATGGGGAAAATGCAAATAAAATTATAACGATAATAAAAAATATTAATGTTCTTCTTTTTCTCTGACTGCAGAGAGTCTGAGTGCTTCTTAGAAATGGGCATGGACGTTAAAAAGGAGAAGTTTGCGGTCCTAACTCCGTCGCACATCCATCCGAAGGGTTAATACAAATCGAACAGATTAAGGGGGAGGAGGAAAAAAAAAAGACAAACATAACAAAAACAAAGCAGGGTAAAAGAACAACTTCTGCTTAAATCTAAATACATACCCGCTAAATAGAATAATGTTTCAGCGGTCGTTTCGCACGGCCACAAAAACCTGATAAAGGAGAAAAAAATAAATTATACTGTACATAACTTACTAAACTCAGGAAACGCTGACCATCCTCTTAATTATGGTTAATAATATTATTAGACTAGAGGCAGTTTTAAAGAAAAATAATAATAAAATACAGAAACACTGACTGGCTGACTGCTCTCCGGCTCCACCCACTGGGTTACAGCAGGACGACGTTGATTGGAGGGAGCAGGGAAACACTTAAAAGACGCAACAATAGCTTTTTTGTGTGTGTGTGAGCAAGACGGTGTGTGTGTTACAGCGCATTAACAGCAGCAGAACAAGTTTCTTATTCTTCAAGATTTTGTTTTAGCTCCTTTTATTTGCTCTAAAATAAAAAAAGAAAAAAAAAAGTGCTGTAAACGACACACACTGACCCACACCTGTCGGATATTTCAGCTTTTTAAAAAATAGATGATATGGAGACGCAGACAGGAGAGATGGAGCGAGAAGAAAACTCGTGGATTGTCTCACAAACACAGTGCTTTCGATTTCGCTCCGGGGGGCGCCCCTGTTCGGGTGGCAGGTGGAGGCGCCGACAGCACGCTGCAAGGCTGGAGATTCAGTTAAAAATAAAGGTCTGATGTGTTTTAGGTGCTTTACAACAAAAGGGGAAAAAAGAAGTCTCTTTTTTCTATTATTATCCAAACTTGTAGCACAAAAACAACAAATCACATTCACAAGCCACTTATTGGCACCGTGTACCTGAGTGAGAATATTATAGAACCAAAGAACAAAAAAAGCTGTTTCTTAAAAGTGTCTCTTGATAATAAACAGGTCCGCCATCCTAAAGTGTCTTCTGTTAGCCTTTTGACAGGTCCGCTGTTTAGTGTTTCAGTTTAAAATGTCTCCTTTTCTCCAAATAGGAGCGAAAAGGGTTGATTTTTATAAATGTCTCCTCACTTGTGGCATTACACTCTTGCAGTAGTACTTGAATATTCCTCAGTGAGCTTTAAACTGGCTTCCTCCCATACTCCAGCATGTGTAACAGTCAGTGTGAGTGACAGGTCCTGTGCTTCCATTAATTGATCCGATGCTGGTATCAGGACTCCAGTGGGAGGAGAGGGGGTTTGGCTCTGGTCAGAGAGTCCATGTTAGCCAGGAGAAGAGAGGGTGGGAGGTGTTTTTATTTTTTAAACTTGAGGTGATTGGCAAAATACAAACTCCTCTTCCTGACTGATGAGTTTAGAATCCTTAAAGATTTACCAGCAGTCACTGGCGCCCCCTTAATGGGTGATGTGGTTCTCGTTATCGCTGGTGTAGTCGGCCTCTTCGTCCTCGTAGTCGAAATCGTCGTACACATCACCGTTGCTGTCGTCTAGCCGCAGTTCTTCCTCCTTGATCCGTGGCTCATCCCCCTTCAGTCCTTCAGGCATGTGGGGGTTCTGGTGGTTGGCGTTGGGCTCGGGGCTGCTGGACATGCTCGAGTGCTCTGAGGGCATCTGGGGGGAGGGCATCCCTGCCATGGAAAGGGCACCTGGGTAGACCATGCCTGCTGAGGATAAGGGCAGCTGGCCCTGCTGCCTGTATGCAGAAACACAGAGTCCAGTTAGGAGGATTACTACACGTTTCAATATTTAAATGCTTAAATATTTCTCTTTACAGTAAAACCTGTCCAATAAAGCGGTATCTAGATTGTTTCAGCACGTGATTCAGTTTGGGGGAGTAAACATAAACGAGCATCATCAGTCCCAGACTCTTATTTTAAGGGTTAATTGCTACCTAAACGTTTATAGCAGCATTAAACCCCAGTCCTGTTTAATAATAACTCTTCACATTATTATTTCTACCAAGCTTTGACCAGTTACCATCATTATAGCTCCGATAAGAGACTATTAAATCTTTATATTACTTACAAAAGAGAAATATTGAGAGTTTTCCGCATTTACATTCATGGAATAAAACATAAAATGTATTTGCTTTTAAATATTAACAAGATATGAATGACTTTAAAGCAAAGTTAGAATATCTAGACTAGCCGTTAGCCGCTAACAATGCTAAATGTAGCATCTGCATTAAGGGATCATTGACCCTTTGTCAGTCTTTTCAATTAAAAGCTGTACGGATGTATTTTGTATTTAAAAGACATTTATATAACCATTTTTTATAATGTCTAGAAACCATAAATAATGTCTATTTTATGGTTTTAAGAGGTAGATATGTTTCTACAATAAAGAACAATGATTATATTGTTTTGTAATGTTGGAATTTGTCATTATATTCAAAAATTATTTGGACCTATTTGGACAATTTGCTTAGCAGATCTCAGCCGGTTTGTTTCAGTTGAAATTTAAAAGGACCTCACCATCTGTTTTAAAGCTTTGATCCACTAAAATTAACATCAGTTAATTACACATTGTCTCCGACTGCATTCAAAATGTTTTTCTTCTACATGTTTTACCTTGAAGCACATTTTGTTCTCGATCTAACTTCCTTTTTTTAACACCTCACTGAAAAATAGCTAAGAAAGCTTGCTCCCTTCTTACACCTTCCTCACTGAAGAGTGTTGGTGGTGGTAACGGTTAGGTATTGTTACGTTCACTGATCTTAAAAAGGTCCCACAGGCTGGTTAAGTTTAAAAACCTCTTATTAGTTACCAGCCAATTATTAAAGTGCATCAGTGAGGAAAGGAAAAAAGTAATTTTTGAGAAAAATGCTGATTAAAAACATTCAGTCTCTGCTTTTAGAGCAGAAATAGAATGATGCAAAAAGTTTTATATATATATATATATATTTTTTATTTTTTTTTCCTCATTTATTTATTTAAAAGACAAACAAAATCCTCCTCAACCTAAAACTACCCAGTCCCTCACCCTACGCTGAAGTATTGTCTCATCTCCTGCCTGCGGGACCTCATGATGGCCTTGTACTCGCCGATGCGCAGCTTCTTGCCGTCCACCAGGCAGGTGCGTTTGGGCCGAGGTTTATACTTGTAGTCCGGGTATTTCTCCAGATGTTGTTTGCTGAGGCGAGCCTGCTCCTCGTAGTACGGCTGCTTCTCCAGGTTGGTCATGGCTTTCCACCTCGAGCCTGGACACACATTGGAACCAGTGGTTATGAACCGCTTCTCTTGGAAAAAAAAAAAAACCCAACAAAGGGCTTTTCTTTCATAGCTCTAGATCTAATTACTGATTACCACTTCTGACACATTTCTTTGAAAAACAACATGAGCATCTGCGTGCAGATCAGCCACACTGAATGATGCGCTGCGTCGGACGCTCAGCAAACCATCTAAAGTGAAACACGCGAGGCTGCGCTTAACACACACACACACGATGCTGGAAGTGGCACCCGGAAAGAAAAAGCAATAGAGAGCAAAAGAGGGTTAATGAGGAGCACCGCTGGGACGACAGGTACTCATCTCAACTAATGAGGACTTCACTTAACCTGCTGTCATCTCTCAGCTCGGTTCCTGCTCACAGATCTGTACCGTCATATGTGTATGTCGGGGAAAATCTTGTGCATGTCTTTCCGCTGTGTGTGCGCTTCATATCTGGTCTGAATTTGCACTCGACTACTGTATGTTTAATGGGTAAAAGCTGTCAGTGCTAGGCTGCTCTCTCCCCCTCTCTCTCTTTTTTTCTCTCTCTCTCTGTGTTCTGCGATCTGTTAGCAATCGAGAGCGCGGAGGCTTATTAAAACCAGATTTCCCTGTGTTATAAAACGCTTAGGAGCTCTTTAAAATGTCAGGGCCGATCCCAGCGGTCTGGGGGAAATGTCAGGCGGCCTCGCGCTGCTTGTTTAATGCATAATGAATTATATCATCATTTGTCGTGGTTGTGCTTCCCCCAGCCTTTCATTAACACCCGCTTACATAAACTCCGCCGTAGTAAGAAATCGGCATTAGTTTGTAATGCGCCTTTTCTGAGACGGACAGGAGGCTTGTATGACAAAGACATGGTGAGGGCCTGGAGTTGTAGAAGTGCGTGGGTTTACCGAGAATCTTGCTGATGTTGGAGTTGTGCATGTCTGGGAACGCCTGGAGGATCTTCCGCCTCTCGTCTTTGGCCCAAACCATGAAGGCGTTCATCGGCCGCTTGATGTGCGGCTCGTTGTTGTTCCGGCCGCGGGTTTCCCGAAATATTCTGGAGTCTGACACGCTGGGGGACCCTGAGGAGGATCAGGAGGGAGAAAGAAACAGATCAAGAAGAGAAAATGCAGTTCTATAAGAAATGCAGATGAGACCAGTGAAAATCAAAAGATTGTGTCTAAAGTTATGACCTTTAATTGCAGTAGCATCATTTCTAAATTAAAAAATAAAGTGTTGAAATATAGAGACCATTCCTTGTTGCATTCCATAGAGCCTACTAAACCTATCTAGTTCACCTCACAGGTTCTCTAAAAGTCTGAAAACTAAGATAACCATACTGTAGAAGGTTGAATTTCTGTCTGGTGGTCTATTTCGGACCACCAGATAAACTTTTCTTTTTTCTGGTACTGGCTATTTAAAAGTTTAAACCTTCACAATGTCATGCTAACTCATAACATCCCCAATGCCTCTAAAATGTAAGCAGTCCCACAGCATGATAGATCTCCCTCCATACTTAACAGAGAGCAAATGCCTTTCCACAAATGTATCCCGAATTTGATACAAAACCCACACAGAGTCCTCAAAGGGGCCAGTACGTCTATCTCAATTTAGAGGTTTCTGTTTGTGATGGCAGGACAAAAAAAAAAAGGGGTTTTATTTGGGATCGCCCTCAATTAACATGTTAACATGAAAATTGAACACAATTATTTGCTGCAGTTCTCAAACAGGAAGTGTTTCAGATTTCATCCTCGCCGCATCATGCTACGCGATTACCTGGATTAACGTCTGATGGGGATTACCCAAGTTGGGATTGATTAAAACTTGACTGATCAGGTTTTTTTTAATGTACATAACTAATGTTCTCTCTTTTCTAATTAAAGAATGGCAACAAGATATCAGACCTTTTTGTGCCTCAAGAAAAAAGAAAGGCAGCAATTTCCATGTAAAAAGCTCATAGAAACTGATCAAGAATATTAAGTTTAAAAAAATTTGGATTTTCTCAATTTTAGTTTAACAGATATTTTTAATTAAATTCAATGTTCAATGAAATTTTCTGTTCCATTCAATGCTCAGAGGCATTGTGAATGAGAGCATCCATCCTTGTTTTTTTTTTCTGAGTGTGTGTGAGGCTGTACCGTCAGAGTCTCCACTCATGGTGAAGTCCAGCATGGCGTGGCTAAACTTGTCGTCGGCCTGCTGCTTCAGCTGCTGACTCAAACTCTCCAAGGCAGCTTTCTCCTAAACGGCACAAACAGTTGCAGTCGGTCAGTGGCTGAGTCATATGTTGGAGTTGGAAATACATGAATGAATGAAGGAGACACGAAACCTGCACTTCTGACAAGTGGTTTCCATATGAAAAACATATGTATATGCTTTTAAGGTCTTTAGAAACTCAATTAATGAATGTTAAATCATGAAAAATATACAGAATTCCTATTTCAACTTTAAAAAAATGGCTTCTTGACATGTAAAAATGTTGCAGGCTTGAACACACATCTGTGTCTGAGTGCGCTTCCCTGTGAAAGAATGTGGGTTTTACTCTGATTCAGATATTAAACGTTAAGTGTGTGCACCGTTGGTTAAACGTGGGTGTGTGTGTGTGTGTAGCAGCTCCTGGCAGCCACCTGCGAGAGTGGAGAGCGGCGGCTTGCCTCTCTTGCAGATGCCCCCGAGGGTCGACGCATTAGAGGGAGAGAGAGCACGAGAGAGTGCGCCGCGGACGAGAGCGGGGCCACGCCGTGCGGCCCCCTGGGTATTTATTACAACCAATAAAAGGCTGATTTACTGAGCATTTACATGCCTAATGCAAGCAGCCGGCACACACTGCGCTGGAGCTGGGCTGACACGCACACACCGCACGGCACCAGCGCCAACGTTTTACGGTTTAATTACACGATTAGGAGCTCTACCCAAAACACGGCCGTCTTCTAAAACGACGTTCCGGAGAGTGTCCTCCTCCATTTACATGTGACCCTGGCGAGCCGGATGGCTGCATGGAGGGAGGGCAGAATGATAATGAAATGCATTTTGTCTGTTTTTAGTCCAATACAGTTTAATTGTTAGAGATAATTTTCCCTCCAGATTGGAATAAATATAGAGCAAGGGAAGAGAAAGAATAAAAGCTGGTGGCATGCAGCTCTAAATGTTTCCTTTGCAAGCCATTTCAAAAGTATGTTATTTTTAATTTCCTCCGCTTTTATAAATGCATAATAACCTTCAGTGGTTCGGAGCTACTCAGTCATTTTGTATGTAAATCAGAAATATTTTCGGAGTTTTCCCTCATTTTGCACTAATGAATGCCTCATTCAGTCCTCGTTTCAGAAACAGGGAGCACAAAGTGTCCTTCACACGTTCAGATTTTAAGATTAAATATGCGCTCTCAGATGGCTTTATGCAGCATGTGTGTGTGAGGAGGGATGAACGGGGAGACAGAGTGGATGACAGCCTAGTCTGACATTAAGCCCCGGTACAGTACATGGGAAAAGTGGATTGAACGGCTGACACGGGAGCTGAGACACAAAGTAGTGACAAAACTAATCCTCCGGGTGTGTCAGACACGACGCTGTTGTATCCGAGCGCACAGAGCCAAAAGGGGGCAGAGGAAATAAGAGAAATTATAAAGACATCTAAAATCTACCACTTCGTTTAATAATATCTTGGAAAAATCTGATAGAAATTTTTTTTTTAAGCATTGGGAATATTTTTTTTTTTAACATTTTATAATAAACTTTAGCAGCAAAAAGTATTTTTGTATCTTTATTTAAAGTGAATACTGCAAAAATAAGCCCTTTTTAAAAAAAAGTTCATTTTTCTTAAGTAAATGAGACACTTTGCCAATGGAATAAGACAATTAACATGTAAAAAATAATTGCATTGTCTTATTTCCAGTGCATTTTATTTAATTATCTTATTTTAGCAGTATAATATTAATTCCATTGATAAATGATCTTATCTACTCAAATTAAGTTTAAAAACACTTAATTTAAGAAATGTTTGCCTATTTTTAGATCGCTTTTGTAGTGATAAATGTAAATAATGGTATTTCCTCTCTGATCAAACTCCGAAGCTGTTTCACATGTCATTTTTATATGACACATGATGCATATAAAGCGTTTAGTTTGCATCTGTATTTAAATGGAAAAGCTCAACTTTTTAAAATTTTGAAATATTTAAATTTTCAACGATCCCATTCATCATCTGCTGTACTTAAAAGTGTCCAGAAGAGACTTTGTTTTTCTCCCTCACATGTTCATATCAATCCTCCCTGAAAAGTTGGCTAACTAAAAGATAATATTTATAATAATAATGATAATAATAATCAACTTTTAACTTATTATTAAGTTTACCCTGTTGTAACACTACATCCATCTAATTTCACTAATTTTAGAGTGGTGTTGTCCAATAAGAGGCAGAAAGGGAAGCAACATTTGCAATAAGTATATAAAAACAATATTGTTTTCTTTACATTTTTTTTACGTTTTAGAAAATATAGAATAAAAAAGATCAAATGAGTTTAGATTTAGTAAACAGTTTCTATATTAATTAGCATTTCACACCCTATAAATACATAGATTTAGATATAGGGCGGCAGGAGGAATAATTGTTGCTTTGATCCCAAATAGGTTGAACAAATAATCACAGTTCAGCTGTGCTGCTGAGGAGCCGACGCCGTCGTTTCACATTAGCATCTCCCTGACGCTCCGCTGTGCCACACACACGCACACACACATCGCCCCGCAGTGTGCCTCACAGACGCACTCATTACCTCCAAGATGCCTCTGCTTTTTACCTTATCTGGCCCTCTTTAGCTTCGACACATTTTAGCGAGGCCATTGTGTGCCGATTTACCTCCTACATGGTGCGGCTGGGACGGCATATGGCAAGACAAATTATTGCACGCTGACAATGAGACGCTACAGCCTGTGATGACTTCAGAGGACTCAACTGGATTTATGCGTTTAGGTCACAGAAAAAGATATTTGTTTTTTTTTACAGAGCTCTGGATGATTGAGCTCAAATCATATGTCATAAAAAAATCCTACCACAATTACTGTTTTACCTACGGCAGAAAACATCTTTCTGATGTATTTATAAACACTGGATGCATGTATTTCAGGACACTTTTTTTCAATTCTAGGAAATACACACTTTAGATTGAGAATTGATCTGACCATATAAATATATTAAGATATGTATGGCAATCCATTATATTAGTAAATAAATTATGTACACTGGAAGCAAGACATTCTGCCACAAGTGAAAAGAATTACAACATTCAATCCCCCGCTGACTGCATGTGAGAGGAAAGGTGTTATTTTAAACACTCGTCGGCGGTAGGAGAGAAAAAGGGCCTCACCTTGTCTGAGCGTCCGTTGTTGAGGCTGAGGTTGCTGACGGAGGCCAGCTTGGCGTCGAGGGCCTGCTGCTCCCCCTTCAGCTGCTCCTTCATCTGCCGGGCCTCGGCGAAGGCCTTGCTTACCGCCTCGTGGTCGTTCAGGTAGGCTGTTGAGGACAGCGAAGACAGCAAGTCTGCTGAGACACAGACATGGAGGTGGGGAGGAGATCTGTTAGTCATACTGTTTCATTTTTTTTTTTATTTTTTTTTTGCATGAATAATCCAGGATGATGACATTAAGAAATACATTTTTTTTTTATTAATGGATAAACAAAAGAAAGTGTTCAGTTTAGAGGTTTTCATCTGGAACAAATCTTCTGAACCATAAGGTAAAGGCATTAACATGCAGTTGATTAGTGGAGGGATTTTTTTTTTTGTATCTCCAACTAAAAGAACGACTAACCACTTAGCTGTGGAGTGGGGCGTGAGTCAGTGAGCCTCAAGCGAGCTCATCCACAGCCCCCCCTTTACCTGCTGCCCATCAAAGATAAATCTGTATTACAACTGAAACACATCTATTACTGTTAGATTATTTTCTGCATCTCGGTTTGGGTGCCGCTATCTCAGCTCACTGTCAGTTGGGGTAGTTCTTAACAAAGAGCCACTGCTGCTTTATGAGTCCTTTATCTGCGCTAATCCACACCGCTAATGCCATCTCGGACCAGATTATCAGCTTCAGATTGGTAATGACAGAGCCGTGAACTCTTTCAGAAGTCAGAACCCGAAAATCTGGATGTGAGCGGAGCCCAAAAAAAAAAAAAGCAGAAAAAAAGAGCGTGGTATGAGAGACAGGACAGAGGGGTGAGAACGGAGAGGAGGAGGTGAAGGGGGGGTGACAGAATTGGGTGGCAGTCAATTTTAATCTGCTGTAAAAAGGAGGGGGGCTGATGGAAATTCCTGCACACACATGGTTGTGTGATTGCTTAAACTGACAGAGATGACAACCATCCAGACGAGCGAATGTGACCCAGATAAAAGGAGGGAAAGGTTGGAGGGTAAAGTATGTCTATTCATCTTATGCTGTAGTAAAACATCTTCTTTTCTCTGCAGATGCTGCACATCTAGAGTGAAACGGTGACACTGGGGGTGGAGGCAGAGGACTGCAGCTGGATGGATGGATGGACTTTTTCATTTTATTACAATAAAGAAGTCACAGCAGCAGATGACATCAATAATTAGCAAGAAAATATATATTTTTTAACATCCTGTCAAGACTAGAACAAAAATAAAAAAACCTTAATAGTTTTTTCTAATATTGAAAAGAAAATTATATGGTATAGACAGTATTTATTATCTTTTTAGTTGTAGAGATAAGTTGTTTTTTGTTCAAAATAAACTACTGAATTATGATTTAGTAAAAAACTAAACTCTTATAGATATATTCAAATAACAAAAAACAACAACTCATTTAAAGTTACCTTTTATTATAATTACTTTGCAATAATTTACTGTTGGATGTTATTATGACATAAATATCAACATGTTGCTTTTCTAAACTAAATTTGAGATTGGATCGGATTGAAAATGATGATTCTACATCCCTAGAGTTAAAATTAAATAGGTATTTAATCTTATTTTCTACATATATGATGTCTGGAAAAAAACTAAAGAGGTAGGAATAATATCTGCGTTCTGCAATGAGAAGGGTTTAATGATTTATTATTCTTCCAATGTTGTTGTGATTGCGGTTTAAATATAAATAACCCGAAAAGAGCCTCATAATCTGCATCCAACCCTCCCCTCTTCCACAAACAGAATGCAAATCAAAACGACCACCACTGGACCCCTTTTCAGTTGGTCTGCCCCCGCCGTCCACTATGACTCCTAATACAGTAGGAGCTTGTGGCCAGGCTAAAACTCAGTGGTAACAGATGGAACAATGAGATCCAGCGTATCAGGGATCTAGCCTGCCCAGCGCAAATACATTCAGCATGGATCACACACAAACTTAAAATACTGTAATCCATTTTTCCCAACAAAAAACATCTGGGACTGAAAATCCACTAATCTGATATTAAATCCGCCGATTTGTTGAAAAACAGTGAGATTAGCCAGAAAGTCAGGGGAAAAAAAAAGACAAAAAAAAAAACTGCCTGCCTATTGCGTATGAGGAGGAGGTTGGAGTGTGTGTGTGTGTTTGAGCGTGAGCTTTTGTGTGAGTTTGAGTAAGCACTGAGTGTGTGTGCTGGTATTGTATGGTTAATGCTGGGTGTTTGCGCTGTCCTGGCTCATGTAAGAGGCTTGTCTAATCTCATTGGTGATACCTTCTGTCTGTCATGCACTCCTCTCTTTATTATTCCCCCCCACTTCATTGCTCTGGAAAAAAAAGGAAACACTAATCCTCATCTCTCTCTCCCCAATTCCCTCCTTCTCCTCAGTCCTCTGTCTCTCTCTGTCTGTTTTAGTCACTAATAAACACATAACAATGAAGCCGCCTGCAGGGAAACAGCAGCATGGAGAAAAAAACACAAACACTAATTATAGCCTCTTACATATGTGTAATATTTGAACTATCAGTGTTGCATGAAAAATGGATTAAGAGTAGAAAATAGTGATTCATTTATGTCATATTTTCTTTATGCGTGCATATGGCTGGGGAAGATTACGTTAAGGGCAGCATAGTACGGTGAGATAAACGCCGCATGCTGCAGACACTTGTATTTAAAGAGGTTAAAGTTTTAAAGAGAAACATTTTTTTAGATGAAATTATTTTTCTGCAGTAGAAATGTTGGCTTTTTGTTTAGAAAGACGGAGAAATTCACTTGTGACTGGAACTGCTCTATTTCCAAGCCTGTCCAGAGATAAGTGAAAAAAAAAAATGTTTATCACATGAAATATACAAAAACTGCAACTATTTAGTGGAAAAACTGCAACCAATTGAAGCAAAAAGCTATAAAAACAAAAAAGTAAAAAAATAAAAATAAATAAAACATCAGATAACAGAAAGGTTAATTTGGTGCAAAAGAAAGATGATCTGTTTTCGCTTTTCAAACTTTCAGTGACTAAGGATCGACATACTTAAAGGTATAGTGAAGGATGTTCTTTTTCTGGGTGGATCATCTAAATAAGTGGTCCTCCCAATTGTCAATCATTCTGGTGACATGTTTACGTAAGGCCGTCCTACGTGCTCGTCCCGTAAGCTATCTTTTTCTGCACATGCGCACTTTTAGGCGTATATATGTGGTGATCTAAGTCTTCAGACAGTCATGGAAGCCTATTTCTCTCACTGTGGTGCTTTGAAAATGGATGAGGGTCGTAAGAGAAAAAGTTTCTATGAAGTGTATGAGAAGAAAAGAAATGCTTCAGAAGAGGGAGATATAGGCAGAATTCTTTGCGGAGAGCTATCCTCGCAAAGCATTATGGGATTTGCTCTCACGACGCCCTACTGTCGCCATAGGCTGTCGCTAATCGACAGCGGCGACTAATAACAAAGATGGCCCAGGCACCGTGAGGTTGAGGAGGAGTTATGTGTCCAACGGGGAGCAAAAAGCAGTGATCGTCTGTCCGAACAGTAAGTTAACTGAGTTCACTATAAAGTTCACTATATAGTCACCACTGTCTATAGTGATTGAGGGATTTAGGGGTTAGGGTGTACGTTTAGGTACAGTAAGCTTGTATGAGCTATAATTGAGCCACTGTATTTCTTTAACTGTTCATTTTGACTAACATGAATAATAATAAAATAATAATAAGAATCAGTTGTAATATCATGTTACCTAAAAAATTTATTTTTAGCATAGTTTATAGGTCTAATCTAAATCTACCCTGAGAAAAGATGTTGAGTGTGTGGCTTGGTTAACTATTTTTAACTAATCCTTACTGCTGTTCTAAGTTTATACACTATCTATTATGTTGTGCTTTTTATTTAATTCCTTTACTTGGAATTAAGTGCAATCTTTGTTGAAGTATTTCATATTTCATTTCATACATCTTCTTTGCTCCGCTACTGTAAAGTGCATAAAATCTGCTTACCTATTGAGCTGACTCTGGTCGGCGGCGCTCCGATGCTGGAGGGCACTGCACTGTGCTTCAGGGAGCCAGCGGGACCCAGCTTGGTGGTGGCGGCAGCAGCAGCGGGAACCTGTGGGGAAGTTGGGGGGGAGTTGGGTGACTTGCTCTCGGATGCCTTAGGCTTGGCCGACAGGTTCAGTGGCTGTGCACCCTCACTGTCCTGCAAAAACCAAAACAGCACAGATTCGCCTGCTGTGTCCAGCGTAGAAATTTGGAGGCGGGAGGTCGAGGGGGATGCCCTCGCGTCTCCCTGATCCAGACCACGTGCTAATTCAACTGAAGCCCATGCACAGCAATCTGAGGAATAGCTGGCGGGATGAGAAGGTGACTGGGTGCATGCCACTGCCCGTCTTTATTTAACACATGATAAGCAAAGAATAACATACAAAAACCTCTGGGTGCAAACCACTGACATTTACATGCAAAACGGCCAACCACTTCTAACAGCACAGCCACTCCCCAAAACAGGGAGAACACAATACATGCACGTGCACAACCCACATCCAGGCTGCAAAAAAGCATGCATTTCAATGCTGCCTCATACAGAAATCATATGGCAAGCAGCAACACATACTCAAGGGAGAGGAACACCTTGATACCATGAACAAATATAGTTAACGCCTCCTGTCTTTCACAAAGAATAACACATCCTTTAAAGGTGTGAGAGTGCAAAGATACGGCTCCGTCTCAATGCATCAAACAGCCAGCAATGCAGAGGACAGTCTGTCACTTCAAATCACTCCTGGTTCATCACAAACGCAAACCTCCAAAAGGTCCAAAAAAAACAAAAGTTCATACCACAAACTCTAACGCACACGTGCGACTGCTGCAAGCAATTATTGTGGATTGTGTTGCAGCAGTTTTTATTTATATGTCAAACAGCACACTGACATTGATGCCCTGCAAAAGTTTTCACACCTGTTCAACTTTTCCACATTTTTTACAAAAAAGCAGTATTTCATTTGGGATTTAATGGAAAAGACAAAGTAGCACAAAACTATTTTGATCCAAAAATATAACAAACTGTGGTGTGCATCAGTGATTAGCTCGCTTTGCTTTCTTTAGTAGTCATCTTGATAATAAGTCACTGTGGATGTTATTTCATTTGTTCTGGGAATAACTTAAAGATTTGATTGAGAACATTATTGAACAATTATGAAGGTGAGGGGAAGTTTAAATAAAAGTTAGCTTCAAAACACTTTCTGTTTATCTCACAATATAGGACACAACAGGCCAGGGAATCAAAGCATATATCAGATAAGCAGCCAAAATTGTTGTGGTAACTCTGGAGGAGCTGCAATTTAAGCGAAAGAATGTCTTAGCAAGATCTTTTTCACAGATCTGGGCTGTCCAAAAGAAAGCTGATGTTAAAAATGAAAGAAGAAGAAAAAAGCTGGTCGATTATTAGTTAAAAGACTGAAAAATTTATACATTTCTTTACGGTTTACAATAATGTGCTCTCTTATAAGACAGTTTAATTTTTTTTTTAGTTACAAAATAAAACGTGGAAAATTTGACAGGACATGAAAAGATGCATCCAGGTCTAAATCTCTGCAGCCTTCAGGTGCATCGACATGTGGACCACCACATGGTATCTGGTAAACCGTCATAGCAACATGACCCCTGCTGATGACCTAATCCAATCAGGGGCAACCTAGGAGCGTCACATGACAGGAAGCGGGGAATTAGATCAGAGACAGAGCAGATGTACAAAAACCACTCTGTTTGATTAAAACACCTCAATTAAAAACCCTGATGCAAAAATAGGACAATGATGACGATGGGGGCAGTAAAGGACAAACTGGCAGAGTGTACAAATAATGGCTCAGAAATATAGTCAGGGTGTATTTAAAGGGTATCTGTTATTTAACATAATTAGAGATAACTTTCAGAATTGCAGGTGTGGTTCTATTGTGGGCTTTAACCTGATGTGGAAACGACATTATTTGTATTTTCTGGTCATTAGTCTAATTGCAGCTTAGGCAGTATAGAAATAAGGATATAGTAGGATTCAACAAAAAGAGAAAGTATTGTGTGTGTGTTGTATATTCACTCATTAAGGGCGACTTTCCCTGATTCCCTCTCCTTGAGTCACACTAAGCCTTATGAGCCCCTCACAACTCAATTAAGCCCTTCCAATTAAGCCCTTGCAATGTGTGTGTGCACATGTACGCTAGTAGTTGTGAGGCATCCTAATTGTGTGTGTGTGTGCGTGCAATGAGTCCTAACCGGATTGTCCTTCATTAGGGAGGTCTTTCTAAATAGACGGAGGACCCCCAAAGATGCCTTCAGCGAGACAATGGGCCGAAGAAGAAGAGGAGAGAAAAGAGAAAACTGAGCGGGATCTTCTCAATCCTGACCCATATTATGGCGGGCTTTGGCTGCGAAGGCATTTGAATATTTATTACAAATAGATAATGCCTCTTCATGTACAGTGGATGGGGGGAGTTTCCTCTTTGCGCCAAGCCAAATCCTGTAGTGGGAAGGTGGCCAACCTGCATTATGCCAGTGTGGAGGAATTAGTTTATAGAGTGGAGCTGAGACGCTTGGACAGACTTGATGTGTGTGTGTGTTTCTGTGTGTGTAAGAGAGTGAGACAGACATTGTTCAACAAGCTCTAAACCTCATAAAAGTGTGTGTTTGTGTGTGTGGTTGGACTCTAAAGGCTCTGAATCTTCAATTAATACAATTGCTTTTGTGTCTCTCTTGGCTGATGGAACAGTCTCCAGCTTTGCGACAGAAAACATGCAGAGTGACAGAGAGAGCCAGAGGGACACGGAGATGGAGAGGAAGCAGAAGGGGAGAGATAATCTATGTGCGTGCGTTTGTGTGTGTGGGCTGCTTCTGCGGATGCCGGCATGTGCGAGTGACATCAGTGTTCTGCATCTTATTGCCGGTGCTGACGGTTCAATTAAAACGACATGTGCTGTGCCACCACCGTTTATCCCTGTCAGGTCTAAAGCAGAGTGTTCGTGCCGAGGTGTGCTACATTGGCCGTGTCAAGACCCTTAAATCCAACTTCTTCGTCATCCGCTTCTTTCCTCCGCTTTCCTATTCCTCGCAGCAATAAGTGTCTATTCATATTAATTATACTGTCATATCAAAACTTTATTAGAAAGCAAAGTTGAAGACACAAAAAGACATGAATCTAAATTGGATATGCAGTGCTTAATGCATGCTCATTTAATTTGTATACGGGAGAATCGTTTTTCTTAGAACAGCACAGTGTCAAGCTTGATTAAATAATATGGTAATGTGAATGAGGGTGAACAGCCTTGGTATGTTAGGTGGACGGTGAAGAAAGACGGCATTACAACAGCCTCCAACATCTACAGCACCTTAAAGTACAATCTTTGGTTATTTTGTGATGTTATGAATAAGAAAACATGCTTTTTAAAATGTTTACTAATAGATATCGCAAAAGTATGGCATAAAACTGGCACTTTAAATTGCAGGAAGCACGGTGGTGGCAGCACCATGCTGTGGGGATGCTTTTCTCAAGCAGAGAGAGGAGGAAAGCTGGTCAGAGTTAATGGAAAAATAGATAAAGCCAAGCTGGAGGAAAGCCAGCACCATTTACACTACACCAATCCGTGGCAAGTTCGGACTGAGCTTGGATGAGTTAACCGTGCCAACCATGGTTCCTTATGACCATTTACGCATCACGCTAGCACGTTTCGTCGCCTCCTATGGGTGATCCACAATACTACAGCTCTTAAGGTGCCCATAACATTTAGAACCTATGTACCTGGTTATCGTCCTCCACCCAAATTTCAATGAGAGTGTCAGTCTTGGCGTAATCTCAGGTCGCACCACGCTCTTTTAATGCCATTTATTATTAATAAGTCATTTACAAAGCTGGAGACAACGGAAAACCAGCAGAATGAGTCAGCTGACTGTAAATAGGAGATGACGCCTGCTCATGCGCTCTTTGTTATCAGAGAACTGAGCCACAACCGAACCATGCTCAGCCCTGCTGTTGAACTACTAGATTTAGCGCGGATCGTTGTGTCTGGCACGGTCCAGTTCAGTTCCATTTACACTCAACAGTTAACTCGGTTACCGTGCTCTGACCGTTATCGGCACGGTTTCAAAAGGGTAGTGTAAATGGGGCTACTGTGTCTGTCTTCCGTTTTGGGGTTTCCTCTAATTTGAGGATGATAATACAAAAAAGTTTGCATTAAGTTGAAAAAACCAGCAGCTGTCCATTCAAAGACTAAACTGATCAACTACAACACTTGACGTGTGCTTTGGCTCACTGTGTGAATCTGTTTCATGTTCATGAAGGGCTGCATATGGTAAACTATTGTGTGAGCGTGCATGCCTGCATCTCGAGATCCTCTCGAGGATAAGAAAGCGCTATGCAGCCTGCAGTGATTGGAGCACCGAGGGTGTGCATGCGCTGGTGTCGTAGTCCACACCTGGACCAGTGCATTTTTTAGTGTGCGTATGTGTCTGTGTCTCACCCGAGGGTAAAGCACTTAAGCGGTGTGTGCCTGAGTCCAAACAGCTGTGAGCATAGCAAGGCACTGAGTTTCTAAATGACTGGAGACCTGACATAGAGCCCACATGGGGAGGACACCAATGAAATATACATGTCACTTGACTAAAGAGAGAATGACAAAGAGAAAAAGTTTCTTGAGGAAGCAGTGAGGGGGTTAAAATGAGTGGGGGGGAAAAAAACAAATCAGAATGTCTCGTAAATAGACTTTATGGTCTGTTAGCAAATTTTAGTTTTGTGGAAACTGTCAAAGTCCATACTGGTCAACTCAACAGTCAGCCACTCCTGCTGGACAGGGGAGACCATTACGACTCCCCCCGTCCTCCTACACCACAGGCCAGGACTCTTGCTGTCAGCCTGACTCTATATATATGGTAATAAGTGTGTGGGACAGCAGGGTATGATGGTGCTGTGTGTGATGGAGATATAGAGGAGTGTACAGTCAAGGTTGTAGGGAACAAAATCAGGAACTATGAGCTGTTATTAAGAAACAAGACAATGGGAGTGATCAGGAATCTGCAAACCAGATGGATAGGATAAAAAGTGAAGGCAATGTGAAATGTTTTATTTCTTCTATGTGTGTCCTTGTGTCTGTTTGCCTGATTGACCAGAGGTCATGTGAACACTGGGGAGTGAGGTTGTGTGATTGTGCAGAAGGACGACCAGATATTCATAGAATTCCAGCTGGATGGACACGAAGCTTCACTCTCATCACACCTATGAGGCAGCCAGCCAAGAAAACGACACAAACTCCAACAGATCCCCAAATGGAGGCGCAATGAGAGACCAGCTGGGAATCGGTGATAAAGTTACTCTGTTTGATTTTCAGACACCAAGTGGCTGAGAATTGTCGGGGAGCAAGTTTATCCGAGGCAAATATTTTTGCAGAAAGTAAACTCTTGGATTTGAGGAGAAAGTGGACTGGGAGACTGGAACTTATGTGTTTACTAATCATTCATAGTCATGAGACACCATGAAACTATTTTAGTTAAAAAATCCTTTTAGTAATGGATCATAGATTCAAACTTTTATTCATTTCTGGAATAGAAACATTTTTTTTCTAAAAATGATGGTGGTAATAAGTGCTTAGGAACACTGATATAAATGTTTAATTTATACTTAAAGTTGGTTTTATGCACAATTTACCAGATTTTATTTTAGTTATCACAATTGTATACAGCTCCCATCAACACAGCATAATGCTGCCATCTCCACTGTGTTTTACTATGAAGAGGATGTGTTTTGATTAATATATACCAAAACACACCCTTCTGATTGACTACTGTACCTGTTAGGCCACACCCCCTCCCATATATGATTAAAGATGGATTTGTGTTCGGTATTTGAGGACAGAAACATGCACATTCACAAGCGCAAACACAAGGCCTTTTTATGATTTTCCTCTTCTTACCTTGTTCTTGTGTGAGGATGGCGAATTGCGGTTCTTGTCCCCCTGTGGATGCGAGTTTGTGGGTGGGGAGTGTGCGCCCAGGTTGGATTGTGGCGCGAGGCTGCCACTGTGCTGCTTCGCTCCCGGGGAAACCTGCATGGCCGCCAGCTGAGCTGCATACAACTGCTGCAAGGTCAGAGACACAGGGGTGAGGGGTGGACAGTAAGAAGGAAGACGATCGAGGTGAAAAGAGGGGAGGGGAGGAAAGAAAAAGGATGACATGAATAAATGAATACTTAAGAGCACACACAAAAAAAAGGAAGAAGGCAACTAAAAAGCTCTAGAAGAGGAGGCCATTAGTGGCCCGGTCTCTGTTTGTGTGACAGAGGGAGATAGAGAGGGACATTTCTACTGTCACTCCCCCTCCCTCACCCCATGGGAGAAACGCTAACAGCCTCTCTGACAGGCCCAGAGATGGGCATATCCCCTCCAGGTGCATCGTGGGAGAAAGGCAAACATTCTGGCTATCGAGGTCATGCTGGAGAGCCCGGCTCTGGCATAAGGTGGAAAAAAAAAAAGATAATACAAGGAAACTGGGTCTGTTATTGTACTAACGACAATTGTAATATTGTTCGATAAAGATTTATCAATTCAATAAACTTTTATGGGAAACAAAACCCTGCTTTCTTCATCTTAATTTTGTGTTCCATTAGTTTCTAATGAATTTAAGGCATTATGGTTCTGTTGGTAAATCAAGTTTTTCCAAGTCAACAGACACACTAGAATTATTACATCTTGGAAGAGGCTTCAGTATTCCCACAACCCTCCTTTCTGTCTCAATCAAACTCATTCTGCAAAGCTCAGCTGCTTTCATGTGCTCTAATACAAATCTCCCAGACGCTGTCTTCTCGCGAATTGTTATTCCTCCCTCAGAGGAGCAACAGAATGCTTAGTTTAGAGAGAAGTCACTCATGTGTTGTTTCTTTTTTTGAATAGTTATAATTGTTATTTATTTCTTGTGGAATCATTTTCTGGATGAAAATCATCGTCTTTTCTCTTTTATTTTTTTTACTTTAACTTCCGTCCTTGTGTTGGCGCTTGGCTGCTGGCCACCGGCGTCAAACAAATGCTGCTTTATGCAAATGGACAAGGAAGAGATGCTGTCACCGCTATTTCTTCTCTTCATCATGCTTTCTTTCTGCGTGCACCTCTTTCTGTCTCTCCTGACAGCCACGCTGCCTCCTGCTCTCCTTTGCTATCTTAAATAAAGAGATTAATCTCTAGGAAGAAACACAAAGACATATTTCTGGGGAGGAATCTACCTCTGACTGTCAGTCATAAGGCAGCGACAACAAACACTCTATTAACACAACTGCTGCATAAAAGAAAAACTTTGCTTTTCTCTCTTTTCAATAGCTTTTGTTGGATTCCTGCTGTAACTTCTTAATAAAAGACACTAGCCATTCCAGGAAAGTGAATTATTTTCTCAAGGAAGAATCAAAATAAGTAACATACTTTGGCTAGCTCAGATAAACACCTTGAGACTTTGCACTTGAAGAAGACAGAACTGTGAAACTGAGTTTATGCCGGAAGAAAACGTTTTTTTAATGTTTCTGTGTTGTACAACCTTTTTTTTTTCTAAGTGATCTTGTGGACCTGAGTGGGTAATGTTTTTTTTTTTTTTTTTTACAAGGAAAGCATAACTAAACAAGAAACCTGCAATTATTTATACCATTATATCATTTCTATATCATATTACCATCAGTGAGGCAAAATAGTTCATTTATTTATTTTCCCAAGGAAAACAGAATCTCTAGGAAACTTTAAATAGTAATCCAGAAGAAATAGGACGTATAAATATGTAGCGACACACAGGTATGCAGGCTTTGAATGGGAACGATTTTTGGCCCTGGCATTTTTCCATCTACACCGGCCCACTTATGAACGCCACTCCAAAAAAAAAAAATTCCCAAATGTAAAACGAATATACGAATACAAATTGTAGATTAACCAATCTATCTTCAAGCATCACCAAGACTTCTATGATGCGGTTTTACTGGCTTTGGTTATTAACACAGACGAGACAGTGTCTGCTGCTGCGTAACGTCCAGCAGGGCTGCCAGATTTCACTGACTCACGTTTTCCAGCCCGAAAATTTTTAATAAACTGCCTGTATATACGAAATCTCGCTCAATTTAGACCAAAATCTATTGATCTCTTAGACCATAAATCAATAGAAAAATTTTTTTTACCCACACACGGCCATCCTAAACTGCCAAATTGGGAAACATCCCAACCTGGCAACAATGCACGTAAGACGGGACAGGTTAGCCTTTAGATGCAAAACCTCATCATGCACCGCAACATATTTTTGCAAAATATTCAAACATAAATTCGCCAAATATAGGAGGAATATCGTAGTTTGGTTTAAAAAAAGGACTTTGATTTTATTATAATTTAGTTTGTTGCAAGGATTTTACAGTTTGAAAAAAAAGAAAATTGCACCATATGCCGTCACAATGATGTGCATGACAAGGAAGGGCTATATATACTGCAAATGCATCATTTCGGTAGTTAACATTGTATTACTTTTGGAGCTCCTTCAGTTATTCACTGTCACAGGTAGGTGCTTCGGCCGGAGAGTAAGTTTTGGGGCCTTTATGATTTAAGGAGGGCCGGCCCTCCCATGCAATTAGGACCGGCCCACTGGACAAATGCCCAGTATCACAGATTACCAGTCCAAGTGTCTGTCTATTATGACTGTAGTACAGTCAAGCAACATGGTCATTTTTCAAAAGTTATACATCCACAGAACATCAGGAATGGTGGAGAACAGAAGTATCACATTTACTAAAAATATGATAAAGTATATAAATAATTGTATTAGAAATTTGGAGAGGTCCTAAATATATAAATATTAACTTATGGTTAGGATGCTAACAAGCTAAGTAGAACGATTATAAAGCTCATAAAAGACTTTTTTTAAGAGTTACATTTCACAAATTCAAGCCAAATAAAACGAAACAAAAAAGAGGCGAAACAAAGTTGAACATCATTCCAGCTTTTTAACATTTATGCTGCTGGTGCTTTACTCTAAGCAGGGCAGATTATACTTCTGCATCCGCACTCATCAAATGTCGCTTGCGTCTGGTTTGCAAACCAGTTTTGCTGGTGTGCTTCTGCAACGTTGGTCTGGAATTTCTACGGATGCAGAGCAGTTTCCCGCCAAAGAACAAGGGGGAGCCTATTTGAGAACTTCGGGGGATGGTAACAAGAACTTCTTGGGCAGCGCCGGCGGGAGTGTTTATTTTCCAAAACAACATGTCTGAGGCATCCTACAAGTGGTTGTACTTCCGAACCTCCTCGACCAACCTTTCGTCGAGGTTATCCATTGTTATTATCCTCGGTTATTAAAAATGGTGAACCCCGGCACCGAATCGAGAAGGACGACCCCACAGACAGCTGGAAAGGCATACTAAGGACCAATCACAGCTGCTTTTTGTCTCTTGAGGTCTGTGCAGGTTTGCGACCGTCCGACGCGTAGTCAGGATTTTTTTGAGGTGCACAGACACAGATTTGATGGTTGCAGAGGCTATGCGCCAGAAGTATAATTGGTCTTTAGAGCTTTAAATAAAAGCTCCTCCTGTAAAGCATGGTGGAGGATGGTATGCTAGAAACATTGTCTGCTAATTAACTCTGAATTTCCAGATTTCCAAATATGATATGATGGATCTTTGAGTAACGTGACATGACAACATATCACACCAAAAGAAAACAGACCTATTACACAATAAATTTAGGCTTTATTTTTAAACTTCTATTTCTTTGTGGGTATTATTTATTACTAGCTAAAAAGCATTCAAATAAAAGGTTTAATTTCTGTTATTTTTTTCAGTATGTATTTCAGTACACCATTGAAATAAAAGATGAATTTATTTCAATATGTGCACATGTGTGGACTTATGTGCACATGTGTGGACTGGGTGTGGTGCTGCAGTTGCTTTTTTTGGTATTTCACCAGGAGATCAGTCATGAGTCATTGAAAGTGTTGACCAGCTAGCTAAAATCAGATCAGCTCCTGCTTGCTCATTTCTCTTCAATTAGCTGCACTGTAGCTCCTGGAAAAGAGGTGGAGGGAAGCGCAGCCAAGTGTGAACCCCCCCCCCTCTCACCACTAGCTAAACTCCCCCAGCCTGTGCACCACAGGCAGTGTGCACACATTTCTGTATCCTTCATTTTGTGTATGTGTGCGTGTGTTTGAGTCCTGCCATATTCGGACCACTGGTTCAAAAGCCTCTTTATTTGCGGACTGAATCGAGTTCCATTACAAGGCCAGCCCGCGTCACTCAAAGGCTGCTCAATGGGCCGGCGAGAAATGACGCGCACGCACCCGCTCCTGTGCACACATGGACACACGCACGCACATGGCGCAGAGGGCAGCGGCACTGTGGAGCGTGCCCAGAGCGTAGCCACAACGACATGCATGTCAACAAACAGGAAGTGACAGCGCAAAGCCCCCTGGGGTGACTGGAGGAGTGAACGCACACTGGCACAAACATACACACAAACATACACACACAGACTTACACATAAACAATGAGTGGAAGGGGGGTCTGAAAATTCAATTGAAGTTGCTGGATGAGACCAAGGAATTTAAAATGTCACTCTTTGGTCAGGCTACTGCTGCGTTTTGTGTGTGTGGGCTTCCATTAAGACCTGCTTCTCACTCCTCCTGTCCTTAATCCCCTAATGTGAGACCAGAAACATCTGCATGTTTGTGTAAGCTCATGTTAACGCGGTTAGTGGTCAGTGAGTGCTTCTTGCTCTCGCTGACACGCAGCCGTCAATCTTTTAGTGTGTGTGTGTGTGTTTGTGTGAGCCTGTGCTGCCAGAGCTCTATTGATGGACAATGTGAGACTATTGCAGATCCCAGACTCAAGACATACGGCGATTGTTTGGGCTCAAAGCTATTGACACGGCGCTGAAAACAATAAGGTGTTTGTAAGGGGGATCTGTTTCTGTTTTTGAGTCATTGTCAATATCCGCAGCTTTAGACAGATTACAGGCCGGCTTTATCCCTGCGGTCCACGTTAGCAGAGGTTCAGGGCAATGCGAGTGCTATTGTTTACATGGACAAAAGGAGAAGCGTATTGATCTGAAAGGATTGTCCTCCATCATGTTTTTGT